TGTAGGTGTTCTTTCATTTTCGTTTCCCTCGGTAATGTATTAGTAGGTTTCAACAGAGAAGTCTTGCACATTTTTTTGCTAGATTCATTCCTAGATAGCCTAGATACTTGATTTTTTATGATATTTTAGATTTCAGTTTTAATTTGATGGTACTTATAGGTAGAAGCATAACTAATTTTTTGTATGTATTGATCTTGGCTCCAGAAATTTTAGTTTAACTTTTTTTTTTTTTTAACCATTTATTTATTTATCCATTTCTTTGTTGTGATTTTCAAGCCACTGGGTCTGGGACTTGAAATGCAGTTGACTATGTGGGAATCCAGCATTTTAACCACCATGCCACCATGGCCCTCCAAATGGTTTTCAATTCTTTTGTATTTTCTATAAACACAATCATATGCACTGTGAATAGGGACAGTTTGATTGGTTCTTTCCCAGTCTTGATATCTTCTACTTTTTAATTTGTCCTATGGTACTGGCATTCACGTTTATACATTTATTTATTTATTTAAAAAGAATTGTTTTATTTTTTAACTTTTTTTTTTTGGAGAGGTTTTTGCTATAGGGCATGTACGCTCGCCAGACAGACAGAGAGAGACAGAGAGAGAGAAAGCGAGAAATCACCCCCCGGGGGGATGGCCATGCCGTAATCCCTTCTCCTCCATTCTCCTCTCAGGATCTTGGGCACGCACGCACATGCACCCGGTGTGAGTTTTAAGCCACCGGGTCCGGGACCTGAACCGCGGTCGACTACGTGGGAGTCCAGTGACATAGCCATTACGCTAACTGCTAGTCCCCATTTTTAAACTTTTATTTATTCATTTATTTATTCTGATTTGACCAGCGAGGGGCAGAGAGAAAGTGAGCACCCTTAACTACTATGCCGCCTGCCAGCCCCCGAGTTTATTTAAAAAAAAAATAAACATCAACCAAAAGAGCGCATTCCTAGAAAATGGAAATGCAGTTTATATTTACTTTTGCATTACTTAAATGTTTTATTTATGTATGTACTTTTTTAATTGCCAGAGGGCATGTGCACTCACCAGAAAGAGACAGAGAGGGAGAAGGCGCCCGCCGAGAGGGCGTGGTCACTCACACCCTTCCTCGTTTCTCCATCCCGTCAGGATTTGGTCATGTGTGCACACGCACCCCGCATGTTTTCTCAAGCTGCCAAGGCTGGAACTTGAACTGTCCAATCAGCCATGTAGGATCTGGCTCCCTTAACCAGTAGGTCATGGGCCAACCCTGCTCAAATGTTTTTAATGAGCATGTGTTATTTTTCTAATTCTGTGAACAATCTATTTAGATGTGCGAGAAGCAATTCACATTAGCAAAATTTAAGCAATTAAAATTCACAAAATATGATACAGTTCCGGGCCAGCTGCTGGCATGGTGGTTAAGGTGACTAGATCCTTCATGCCAACTGTGTGGTTCAAAACCCAGCCCCGATGGCTTGAAGAACACACTGAATACACATTGTGCCCCAAGTCCCAACAGGGTGGGGCAGTGGGGAAGAGAGGGTAGTGGCACGGCCACACCTGTCAGGGTGCGTTTCCCCCTCCCTGTCTGTCTCTGGCAAGCGTGTGCACCCGCTGGCAATTAAAAGTGAATGAATTGGGGCCAGCAGGTGGTGTGGTGGATAAGGCGTTGGACTCCTACACGGCTGACCCCGGTTTGAGTCCAGGACTTAGCGGCTTGCTTTCTCACTTTCCCTCTCTCTGTCAGGTTTCTCTCTGGTGAGTGCATGTGCTCTGTAGCAAATTTTTAAAAATCAAATGATGATAAAATAAAAATTAAAAAAAAATTATAAAAAGGAAACTTAATGAATTAATTAATAAACAAATAAACTAAATAGAATAAAAGAATGAGACAAGTGAACGGGGTTTTGAAGAAGTCAGAGAGCGGCCTCCCCCGGCCCATTTCTAACGCTCCCGGTAGGCGTGGATCGCAGCTCCCTGCATCCCCTGTACTCTTGACTCAGCTCTGCTATGACCTGGAGGACCGGAGACTAGCCACCTGTGGCCACGCTTCTTTCATTTTCCACGTGAAAAAGTCCTCTCGGAGTTAAAATGTCGGGGATGCCCAGTGCGAATTCAAGGTTGGAGCCTGTCACATCCCGGGGCGATGGACAGTGTGTACCTCTGAAACGAAGCTCTGAGCGCCAGAGTGCTGGGCTGCACAGCACGGGCCTCGCCTGCGTCTCTGGGCACTGACAGCTCGGAGTCATTTCTTCTTTCTTTTTTTTTCATTTTGCCAGAGGGCCAAAGAGAGAGGAACAGGGAGAGGGCAAAAGCACCCCAGCAGTCGAGCCCCTTCTCCATGCCCTCATCCTGCTGGGCTCACATGCACGTGCCCCCAGCACCCCTCAGCCACCAGGACTGGGATTCAGACCACGCGGTTGGCCGTGCGGGCTCCAGCCCAATGTCTTCACACAGAGCAGCAGCAGCAGCCCTGGGTCATGGTCCCTGCTGGTCCCCCACGTGCTTTCCCTCCCAGAACTGTGGGCAGCAAATGGCTGACCCCCACCTCCTGAGCTGCTGGGCCTTGCGGAGGCACTGCCGAGGCCCAGGGCCGGTGAGGACGGGAGGAGGTCGGGGTGGCTCGGGGTCCTCAGCGTCCATCTTGACTGGGGAGGGCTGTTGCAGGAGAGAGAGAAAGAGAGCAGCTAGGCCCAGCCAAAGGTTTGCCTCAGCCCTGTGTCACCCGCCCGAGCAGGAACCACTCCTGTGCCAGGACCACGAACAGCAAGAGGGACCACAGCTGCTCTGCCCACATGCTTCCCCGCTTTCCCTCCGTGGCTCTCTTCTTTCCCTTTTTGTCTTTACTTATTTTTTTTTAAGAATTTTTTAAAAATTTAACTTTATTTACTTATTTTAATTTGACCAGAAAAGGACAGAGAGAGAGAGAGAGAGAGAGAAAGAGAGAGAGAGAGAAAGAGTGAGAAAGCAAGTCACCAGGTCTGGGACTCGAACTGTGGTTGGCCATGTGGGAGTCCAGTGCCCTTAACCACCATGCCACCTGCTGGCCCCATCTGTCTTTATTTTTAAAATTAGTAGACTTTATTACTATTTCATTTATTATTTTTATTTTCAAATTGACTAGAGAGAGACAGGGAGAGAGAGAGAGGGAAAGTGAGAAAAGTTGCCAGGTCTGGGACTCAAACCATGGTCGGTCACGTGGAAGTCCAGCAGCTTAACCACCTGCTGGCCCCGACTTTATTATATTTTAAAATCTGCCAGAGGGTGCATGAGTTCACTGGAGAGAGACTCACAGAGAGGGAGAAGTGAGAAAGCACCCCATAGGCATGGCCTCACTGCACCCCCTTCTCTATCTCTCCCTCCTTTGGGATTGTGGGTACGCCTGCACACGCCTGGTGTGTTTCTCAAGCTACTGAGTCAGGGACTCGAACTGCAAGGTTGGCCATATGGGGTCCACCTACCTGACCACAAGGCCACAGACCTGCCCTAGGCTTCACTTTTTGTTCTGTTTTTGCTGTGGGGACAGTGTGTTTGCTGGACAAAGGCGGAGACAGAGAGAGGGAAAGTGAGAAGTCATCCCCCAGGGGGATGGCCACGCCACAACCCTCCCTCCATTCTTCTCTCGGGATCTTGGCCATGATTTTCAAGCCACCAGGTCAGGGACTTGAACCATGCTGTAGAGCCTATGGGCTCCAGCGCCTTAACCTCCACACCACCTGCCAGCCCCCCAGACTACAAAGCAGTCTAGGCTGACAGGAAACACGGCGGGAGCATACAGAGCGTTCCCTGTGCCTGTCTGCCCACCCCCAGACTTCCGATCAGTCCCTGCTAGTCGCTGCACCTGCACTGACACGTCACCGACGCCCAGGCCCGCGGCCTGACGAGGACTCTCAGCGTTGATCGCCCAGGCGTGGACAGGTGCATACTGACACTCCGCCCAAGTCACAGAAGCAGTGCGGCTGCCCAGAGGACCCTGCTCTGCCGGCCGCCCCTCTCCACCTGGGCTCGCCACCATCTCCATACGCCCACCCCTCCAGGTCAGCTGCAGGCACCCGAAGTAGCCTCACTGGGCTGGCGTCGTCCGTTCCTCCCTCCTTGAGCAAACCTGCTCAGACCTCATCACTCTGCAGGTCACAAATGAGGACACCAAGGCAGCCCACCCAGGGTCGCCCTGCTGGTGAGTGGCAGAGCTGGTCTAGCCCCTAGGCCCAGCGCTCGCCCCCTGGCCCATGTGATCAGCCTCACACGAGCACATGGTCCTCCAGCCCCCTCTTGGAGGCAGGATCAGTGGACCTCAGGCTGGAGAGGATGCAGGGGGCTGCTCCTGGGGCTTGCTCACCTGCCCCAGCTGCTGGGCCAGGGTGCAGCAGGCTTGGACCTCTCTCCCCAGCTCCTGGCTGTGATCCCGGACTCCATGAGGAGGCAGGAGATGCGGCCAGGTGGGGAGGCCGGCTCCCCTGCTGAGCAGGTGAAAGCCCTGGTGGACTTGCTGGCTGGGAAGGGGAGTCAGGGCTGCCCGGCCCTGCAGGTCCCTGAGAGCACGCCAGACAGCCCGCTGGGGCCCCGCGGCAATGGTAGGTTCAGCCTCGGAGGCGGCAGGAGAGCACCGGGCCTGTCCACCTCCCCTGCCCTCACCTATCCCCCACCGGCCTTTGTCCACAGATGCAAAGATCCAGAAGCACCGCGAGGCCCTGCTGACCAGGGTGGGTAGCGGTCCCGAGCTGCATGACGCTGCACACAGGCTGGGTGGCCTCCTGCTGGTGGAGGGCCTGACGGACCTGCAGCTGAGGGAGCACGACTTCACGCAGGTGGAGGCCACCCGTGGGGGCTGGCGCCCCGCCAGGACCGTGGCCCTGGACAGGCTCTTCCTGCCTCTCTCGCGGGTGTCCATCCCACCCCGTGTCTCCGTCACCGTTGGGGTGGCTGGCATGGGCAAGACCACCTTGGTGAGGCACTCCCCCCGCCTCTGGGCCCAGGGCCAGGTCGGCTCGGACTTTGCCCTGGTGCTGCCCCTGACCTTCCGTGACCTCAACGCCCACGAGAAGCTGTCCGCCGACAGGCTCATCCACACCGCCTTCCCACACCTGGGAGAGCCTGGCCTGGCCCCGGCCGCCCTGTCCAGGGTCCTGCTGATCCTGGACGGCCTGGACGAGTGTAAGACACCGCTGGACTTCTCCAACACCGTGGCCTGCACAGACCCCAAGAAGGAGCTCCAGGTGGACCGCCTGGTCACCAACATCATCCGGGGTAACCTCTTTCCGGAAGTTTCTGTGTGGGTTACTTCTCGTCCTGGTGCAGCTGGCCAGGTCCCAGGGGGCCTGGTGGACAGGATGACTGAGCTCAGGGGATTTGAGGAGGAGGAGGTCAAGGCGTGTTTGGGGCAGATGTTCGCTGAGGACCAGGTCCTCCTGGGCTGGGTCCTGGGCCAGGTGCAGGCTGACAGGGCCCTCTACCTGATGTGCACCGTGCCAGCCTTCTGCAGGCTCGCGGGGCTGGCACTGGGCCACTTGGGCCGCAGTAGGTCAGGGCCCCAGCCCCTGCAGCTGTGGCCACCGAGGACGCTGTGTGAACTCTACGCCTGGTATCTGCGGATGGCCCTGAGCAGGGACGGGGAGAAGGGCAAGGCGAGCCTGAGGATCGAGCAGGTGGCCCTCAGCAGCCGCAAGATGGTGGGGACACTGGGTCGGCTGGCCTTCCAGGGCCTGGTCAAGAAGAAGTACGTGTTTTACGAGCAGGACCTGAAGGCATTCGGGGTGGACCTGGCTCTGCTGCACGGCTCCCCGGGCAGCTGCTTCCTGCAGCGGGAGGAGACGCCAGCT